TCCAAGTCAGACGCTTAACTGTGAGCCACCCAGGCGCCCCACCTGGTTTTCAGATTATTAAAGAGAAATAACTTTAATATATCCCAAGACAAATCTGTTCAAAAATAATAATGGAAAAAAAAAACATAGATAATAGTAGCAAAGAATAAATTTAGCCAGAAATATGTAGCGTCTTTATGAGGAAAACTGTAATAGTCTACTGAATAACTTAAAAATCTTTAGTAAGTGAACTAACATAACATTTCCTGACGATAAGAATCTATTTTGTAAGATGTCAACTTCCCCCAGATTAGATTTATATCAATTTTAATACATATCCTCATAGGGTTTTTTTTTTTTTTCAGAGGGAAGGGGAATTCCTGACCAACATTTATAAAACTCATCTGAAAGAATATCATATAAAAAGAATCAAAGAATAAAAAAAAAAAGATTTGGTCTATCAGAAATTAAAATAATGTTGCAAGAGGTGCTTGGGTGGCTCAGTCGGTTGAGCCTCCGACTTCGGCTCAGGTCATGATCTCACAGTTCATGAGTTTGAGCCCCACATCGGGCTCTGCACTGACAGCTCAGAGCCTGGAGCCTGCTTCGGGTTCTGTGTCTCCATCTCCCCTCCCCAACTCGTGCTCTGTCTTGCTCTCTCTCAAAAATAAATATTAAAAAATAATAATGCTGTAAAAGTAACATAATTAGAAGTATCATATGTGTGCCAGAAAAGATGGCAAGATCAATGGAATGCAATAGAAAGTCTAAATGCACGCCCAATCTGTTACATATATATTAGTGTTATTGTATATAGTAGAGTATATTTCATTGTTTCTAAGGTACCATTGGTTGAAAGACTTCATTTTCTATAGTTCCAAGAAAGAAAAAAAAAATAATTTCAATTAAACTATGACAAGCAATTGATTAGGGTGCAAACTGATTTCAAAAATATTAAAATGTGGGGCACCTGGATGGTTCAGTCAGTTAAGCATCTGACTCTTGATTTCAGCTCAGGTCACAAACTCTAGGTTCCTGAGATTGAGCCCCAAGTCAGGCTGAGCCTGCTTGGGATTCTCTGTCTCCCTCTCTCTGGCCCTCCTCTGTTTGCACGTGCTCTCGCTCTCTCTCTCTCTCAAAAGTAAATAAATACATATTTTTTAAATTATTAAAATGTGAAAAAAGTACCTAGTAGTTGAAATAAGTATGATTTTAGTGTTTAAGGTGGCAGTTCAAATCATTAGAGAAGGGGTAACTATTCAACTATTGTAAAAATATAGTAGCAATTTGGGAAAAAATTAAGTTGAATTAAAAAATTAAATGTGATACAGTGAATCTACAAAAATACTACAGGAAAATATAGGTTTATATATAATCTTAAAATGGGGAAGTTTCTTTTAAAAGCAAGACACTATTCAGCAGAAAATCTCTTTTGATTAAGATAATTGACAAATGACAAGTACAAAAAAATATATATTTGCAAGATTGGTAATAAGGGCAGGTCTTACATATTAAGCAAGACAGGATGCTAATTTCGGAGTCCACACTATGTGGTAGAGAGTACATGAGACTATAAGCAGGATGTAAGAGCTGACATCCTGCTGTGCCAAAAAACCAGGAAGTAAACTGTGGTTAGTGACAACATCTGATTCCTAGAGCTACAGAAAAGGAAATATGATTGTGTGATTTTAGAAACCACCTAGTCCCTACTGACAATGTCAGTACAAGTACTTTGTGAACTCTAATATTATTAAGTAAACTGATACTTTACTAACTGTTCTCCTTCTTGGTTTTCTCCTAATGTTTTTGAATATTTTATGTTATGATTGTATATATTAATTGATTTTTGCTGAATGGTTTTCTTTTCTTTTTGGCTCTGCATTAAGTACTTTGTTTTTATATATAAGTGATTCTGATTTCATACAGATTACTGGTAGATGTGGCATCTCAGATGACCAGTTTTAAATTTTATTATTGTACTCTTCATCCAGTCCTCCAGTCATTAATGAACTTTTGAAAACCCTAGCTGTAAATGTGTCCAAGCTTTATATTTTCTCCTCAAGAAGGACCCTGTTTGTTATAAACTTTCTTCCTCATAGTTTTTTTTTTTTTTTAACTGGGGTATTTTTGTTTGATAGAATTAAATTCTCTGAAGTGTATAAAGGAATCAGCAGGATGATCAAGGATGCTATAAAAATATAACTGTCCATTGTGCTTTCAAAGGGGAATTAGATTATATGCCTAAACGGATAATTTGTCTTTACCCTTTCCTTGCACTGAGCTTAGCCCTGTCTACACATTGTTATCTATAGTGGTGGCTTGTAAAGCAAACACACTTTAGCTGTTCCGCTCTGAGCTGTGGTTGGTACAGCCAGCTTTTGATGTTTGTACATGTGACGTTCATTTCTATACCTTTGAATTCCAGATGAATTAATTAATACTTCTTAATGCACATTCATTGACTTCTGACTAAGGCATAGATTTGAACTGACGTCCCGGAGAGTTACTTAGCTAGGTCATAAGCCCAGCAGCTTGCCTGATAGCCACATCTCAACCCCTTCCTGTTGTCTTTTCCTTTCCATACATACAGTAATTCTTATAAACTGGTAAAAAGAGAAATCTTGTTTATGGAAAGTGGCCAGTCAAGCAGGAGACAACTTTAGTAGAAATTGAAAGGCAGTTACGTTGTGATGTGAGGATAAAGCAGGAGACATGTGACTCTCAAGAAAATGTGATTTGGGAGACAGCCAGAACCTAGATAAACAGTTCCACGTTTATAATTTGGGGATTCACAAAGGTTGGAGGACCAAACCCTTGCATTGTACCATATACGGGACATGTTCTTTTAAGATAATGCTATTTTTCTTGCAGTGTCCGAATTCATTATGTTTCACTTAAAGTATTCCTTGATAGTGGAATAAGTGTTAGAGAAGTATTCCCTGCAGTGCTAATACAGACAGATAAGGATGTCTTTACTGTCTAAAGTAGAAAAACTCCCACAAACAAACCAGAACGAGCAAAAATGAGAGTACAGTGAATTTGCAGGGCTAAGAATAAATTGCACATCCATGGCGATAACAGGACTTAATGTGCAACCATGGATCATTGTGGACTCTATGAAGTCCTTTTGTGCTCTGGGAAAAGTAACTGATAACACACTCTAGTCTTCATGGGAAAGTAGTTTGGGTGAGAGCTGCAGTCCTGCATTCTTTCATTAACTCAGTAAACATTTTTCGAGTTCCTGCTATATGCCAGGCATTTTGCTAACTGAGGAAGTGGATCTGAGAAAATAAAATCTCTAAGGCCAGGCTATGTACAGCCTAGAAAGAGGGACAGAAATGAAATCGGCTGTGATACACCAAGCCATGGATTAAGGGCATAGGAAAGAGTAGTGCCTGCCTCACCTGGGAGGTGGGAGGCCTCCAGGAGCTACTGTGAAGGAGATGTGAGTGTCAGCTGGCTAATCGGAAGGAAAGCAGTGGGGAGCAGTGGAGGCGGGTGGAAAAGCACAGGCAACGTTGTGAGCAAGAAGATACAGTCAGGGAACCACCAGCAGTGATCTCAAGGAGGTCAAAGAGCACAGAGCAGAGGAGTGTGGTAAAAAGTGCCCTTTGGGACTAGGCAGAGCTGGGCTTTGAATTTTAGACATGAGCATAGAAGCTAAGTGGCCTTGAGCAAAGGACTTAACTTTTCTGAGACTCAGTTTTCTCATCTGTAAAATGGGGATGGTCATATCTACTTTACAGTGTAAATTTTAAGGCCCAGAGATTGTGTGTGTACTGAAGCATTTAGCATAGTGCGTATCCCATGGTGGGCACACACTGGAACTCTGGTATTAAATATTTAGAGATGGAAGAAATAAGCACTTAACACTTTGTTTTACCCAGAGGTGGGAGGTCACTGAACTCCTCAAAGAGAGGCCGCTGGCTCAGAATCCCATAGAAGTAGTTCAGTAAAGACTTACAATGTTGACGTAATTTTCCATTTATATTGACTACATGTTTGACTTTATTTTTCTTTTTTAATTTTTTAAACATTTATTTATTTTTGAGGGACAGAGAGACAGAGCATGAGTGGGGGAAGGGCAGAGAGAGGAAGACACAGAATCCATAGCAGGCTGCAGGCCCAGAGCCGGATATGAGGCTCAAACACACGAACCTTGAGATCATAACCTGAGCAAAAGTCGAAGGCTCAGCTGACTGAGCCATCCAGGTGCCCCTATATGTTTGACTTTCTAAGAGAAGCCAGGACTTGGGAGATTATGATTTTCTTCAAAGATTAGTTCTGCCTTTATTTCTAAATGGTCATTTTTATTTGCATTTATTTGTAGTATCAAAAGTTGTCTGCAAGTATGATTCTCCTGGATACAGAGGTGCTTATTTGAAATTTGAGATGGTCTGTGTGAATTAACCTGTTTTCTACATTCTGTTTTGTATGTTACTGTAGTTTTTAACTTCTGGTTTCTCAGTAAGGAAAGGCAATCTGTGTGACCCAAAATTCTGATGTGCATTAAAATTGTTCTCTTGGCAAATGTACAAAAATCCAATTAGTTTCCAAAGGACAAATTGTCTTTGGGGACTCAGCTGATCTAAAATTCGTGACCGCGTCTGGAAGAAAATAGTACTCTAGGATTTTTTTGAACGCAGGCAACATACTGTGTGAAACAAGTTCTCATGTAAATTAACTTGGTTTACTTTTCTAGCTTTTATATTTGTGAGGATCCGTTTGCTTCTTTGGAGATAGATTCCAAGCATTCACAAAAGCATAAGATAATCTTTTTTTGCGGGGGCTGGGTGTTCAAGTCAATAAAACGTATAATAATTAATAATAATGTTTACTCAATTTCTTGGATTGTTATAGGGGTTTGCCAACTTGTAAATAAGATGGAGGAGAATACTGGCAAGGTTAAGCCTTTCAACCGAAATGACGAACAGTTTCTGGAGGCTTTCGTCATCTTTTGTGGCTTGGGGATCCAGAACACACAGATGTATGAAGCAGTGGAGAGAGCCATGGCCAAGCAAATGGTCACACTGGAGGTGGGCTGACAACTGTGGGACTCTCGGTCTCTGCAGCCACACTCAGCTTCTGCCTTTCCCGCCAAAACAACTCGTGGGGTCTGTGTGTGATAGCAGCGTCTCCTCACGAGAATCAGACTGAATCCTTAGTTCCTCACGGAAACAGCTAAGGAAACGGAGACCCAGAATATTTTAGAGACTAATCAAAGGTCTCATGACCAAACCAAAACTCAGGCTGTTCGTCCCTTCACTCTTCTGACCTTAAGAATGCATTCACACAGATGTCTGCTGCCCGTGCGGCCTGTCTGTCCCTGCTCCAGTGCCTGAGCATCCCTGTCCCCTGGTGAACAGCTGTACTCATACATTTTGAAAGACAAAAATAGAAACCCTAAGCACTCAGAGAACCAGAAGTGAGGAAAAGGGAAACTCTTTCAGATTACAGATGTATGGATCCCACTTCTGAATACCCTGATTCATAAGTCTTGGGTAGAGCCTGGGAATCTACATTATTCCAGAGCTTCCCCCAGGTGATTCTGAATGTGCAGGCAGCTTGTGACCCACTGGCCTGGGACACTGACCTTCGGCAGGCTCCCTCCCGAGGAGGATTACCCTACCCAAGTGGGGCCAGCCCTTTCCAGGTGTATTTCACTAACTGCCTGAAAATGTTCACTTTGCACAACCCAGAAATTTCTTACATCAGAGACCCAGTTTAGGGAAATAGACTTCAAAAGGGCAAACATCTCTATTTATTCATACAGTGGCGTGAAGTATGTTTGAATATTTGCCTACTCCTATGTAATTGAGATCAGTGGGAATCCATGTTTAGAAACTGTAATGTTTCCTCCAATCCTCTAATAAGTTCCTAACCTAAATAACTAGAAAGATATATAAGTAAAAATTTACTAATAACCAAGATAGTATTAGTAATGATGAATATATAACATGAATAGCTTTGCCATGGTATTATATAAGAGACCTTGGATTATAAGCCAGTGGAAATTTTTTTTTGAAATACACACATGTAGCTATAGGTGCATATATATATATATATATATATATATATACACACACACACACACACACACCCAAATATATGTATGTGTGTATATATATGTGCACACATATACCTCAAATTACATCTATACACATACATATATGTACATATAGTGTCACACATATATACATATGTATGTATACATGGGTGCATGTGTGTATATACATATATTTTTAATCAAATTTTTTATACTTCCCTTGGTTTTGCACTGAATTGAATCTAAGCCAGCTATCAATTAGAAATTATCTCTTCTTGTAAAAACGTTTTATTATGGAAAATTGCAAGCATATACAGAAGTATACTAAAATAGCTTAGTGAGTGCCCATGTACTCATTAGCCATCTTAATAATTATTGACCCCTGGCCAATATCATTCCATTCATACACTTGCTCACTTCTCTGCACTCTTCCACTTTAATCCATTGATTATTTTGAAGCAAATCCCAGACATTATATAATTTTGTTCAAAATCTTCGAGTATTTTCCTGATTGAGATTTATTTCTATTTTAACACTATAGTTTTACTTCAGTTAAATATATGAGTAACTAGGCTTTTACTTAGTCTAAACATTTATTTTATTTCAATTCATTATGGGAAGTCCTATCGATGCTCACAAGTTTAACCTTGAAAAAGATTTTCCTTTCCTTACAAGGCATTGGATAAAAGCTAGGGACACCAATCCCTCAGGTTTTCTTAGGACAGTGAATTATTTTGACCTGGAAGCCATGGTCATTATAATGACCAACAAAACAACAATAATAATAGCTAACCTTTGCCAAATGTTTACTCTGTGTTCTGATGCTCATGTGTACAGACATACCTCATTTTATTGTGCTTTGTTTTATTGCTTGTCACAGATACTGCATTTTTTACAAATTAAAGGTTTGTGGCAACCCTATGTTGAGCACATCTGTCAGTATCATTTTTCCAACAGCATTTGCCCACTTCATGTCTCTGTGTCACATTTTGGTAATTCTTACAATAGTTCAAGCTTTTTCATTATTATTATATTTGTTATGCTAATCTGTGATCAGTCATTAGGACCTGCTGAAAACTCAGGTGATGGGTTCCATTTTTTTTTAGCAATAAAGTGTTTTTGAAATAAGGCATCATATATTTTTTTAGAAGCAATGCTATTGCACACTTAATAGACTATAGCATAGTGTCAGCATAACTTTTATGTACACTGGGAAACCAAAAAGTTCATTTGACTCCCTTTATTACAATATTAGCTTTATTGCAATAGTCTGGAAATAAACCCACTATATCTCAGAGGTAGGCCTGTATTAACAAAATTAATCGTTAACAACCGTATGAGTAAGGTGTTATTATTATCTCCAGTGTGACAAAATTTATTTTTTAAAACTTAGAATGGTATGTTATTCCTGTATCAATTTAAGTCTGAAAATGGCTTACCTTTTTATCAATCCTGCTAATATCTTTGGGGTTTTTAGTAAATCTATGTTGTCTCTGTCAAAGATGAACTTCAAAAAATATTTTTTTAAAAATATGGTAGATGTTTTAAATGTGACCACTGCCCTGATTCAAAAGAATGTCTAAAATATTATCCTATTACTTTGAAGTCATTACTTTTGAATATGGAAATTAATGATTCTTCTGTTGAGTGATGAGAAAATAGTAAGCCTGTCTGTTTAACTCTACTAGGGTAAGAGAAAGTGTACTAGTTAGGTGTTGAAAGCAGGGTCCCAGGCCCCCTTGTCCCCTCACTGAGTGCCTCACGTCCCCAGATGTTACTGGATGGATTTATGGGGCAGCGCTGCCTATCTTGATCTGTGTGACATCATGTTCTAGCCATGCCATTTTTCTTTATGAAATTCTAGAGTAGTTACAGCCCTCCCCTGAGAGCTTCTTCTAGACTCCTTGCTTTCCAAATGTCAATGTTAAGTGTCAGTTTACGCAAAAGATTTTTTCGTAATTCTCACAAGTAAAAATAACTGAAGTCAGTATTATTTTCTAAAAAGCAGTGCAAAAAGAAAAAGCACAAAATAAATTTTCTGCCAACTTTGAGCCAGTAGCATCGCTTATCAATAATGTGTTCATTACATCAACAGTGTCAGAATAAAAGTGACAAGACTTTCTCTAAACACAGAGAGAGTATACCTTTTGGTCTTCTGAAACAAGCAATTGAGTCAAATCTGGGATTTTTCTTTCTGTTGAAGAAAAGCAGCAAACAAGATTTGACATTCTGAGGTGTCTAGTTCTCTCTCCAGGAAGTCTTAGCAGAATCTCGAGCTTGAGATTGTAGTCTACATTTGGTAGTTTTCTCTTGGATAACCTGTTTTCTTTGGTTTCTTACCCTATAGGTTCTGTCGTATCACGCTTCAGCAGCAGAGGAAGAAACAAGAGAGCTCCAATCCTTAGCGGTAATTCTCTTTCTTTGTAAAAGTGACTGACTACAGACATTTAATTAATACATAAACATGCTTCTCTTAGGACAACTACTTCCAATGCAATGGTCCCATTTTTTTCATTGTATTATTATTATTTACTTTGAGAGACAGAGAGTGAGCAGGGAAGGGGCAAAGAGAGAGGGAGGGAGAGAGAGAATCCTAAGCAGGCTCCACACCATCAGCACAGAGCGTAATGCAGAGCTAGAACCCATGAAGATCCCATGAGATCATGACCTCAGCCAAAACCAAGAGTTGGGCATTTAACTGGTTGAGCCACCCAGGCACCCCAGCAATGGTCCCATTTAATTAAATGTGGTAAATATTTAGATGGACATTCATAAAAATATTTAATCAGTTCTACTTTATTGTAGGGCTAAAGAGTCACTGATGATCCAAAGCAAAAGATAACATACTGACTTTGTAGTACATTATATGATTCTGAATTTTTTTTCAATAATGTCACATCTTTCTTTTTTTTTTAAATTTTTTTTTCAATGTTTTTATTTATTTATGGGACAGACAGAGACAGAGCATGAACAGGGGAGGGGCAGAGAGAGAGGGAGACACAGAATCGGAAACAGGCTCCAGGCTCCGAGCCATCAGCCCAGAGCCTGACGCGGGGCTCGAACTCACGGACCGCAAGATCATGACCTGGCTGAAGTCGGACGCTTAACCGACTGCGCCACCCAGGCGCCCCAATAATGTCACATCTTTCTTAGGCCAAAACTAAATTTACTTTTCAGCTCCTGGGGACAATGTGAACAGGTGACTGACTGTGAGGTGGTTGTTTGGTTAGGGTAACGACAACAAAGATTTTATAATTTGTTATCAATAATCTGCTCTGCATTATTGAGAATTGAGAGTGATTTTAATGTCTGACCACATGGCCTATGGAATGTTACTTGAAATTGGGTTCAAATAAGGTCAGCTCCTGAATTCTTATTACATTGTTATTTAGTATGCTATGAGAGAAAAAGCACACTGATAATGTAAGTAGAATGTTAAATGTTCTAGGTCGCGGTTGAGATTAATGAAAATTTGAGGCACTTACACATTTACAGCAAAGGCTCGCCTTCTGAAATTTACTTGAGACAACACGGATGAGGTCTATGTGAGATGTGACAGGAGTCTGTAAAGAATGAGAAGGGTGTGAACAGATCACTGAGATTCTTTTTCATTGTCCTCATCATAGCTGGCCAAATGCCAACCCTCTGTGGCCTTACCTACATTTTCTCACGAAAACTGCACAGCTATATTATGAGGGCCACACTGAAGTTAGAGAAGCCAAGTGACTTGCTCAAGGTCACACTGGCAGAAAGAGGGGAAGTCAGGATACAAACTCACACGGTCTAGTTCCAGAGCCCATGCATACAACCACTGTGCTGTCTGTTATGAGCTGTTAGGGACAGAGAAGATTAAAGATGATTGAAATGTTTTGACCTCCACCATTAAAAAAATGATGGTGCCATGAATTAACTAAAGTGGAAATATTAAGAAGGAAAACTTGGCAGATTTGACTTTAGAACGTGGTAAGTGTGAGGTGCTGGTGGAAGGACTCAATGGACGTCTTCAGTAATCATGAAAGGCAGGACTGGAGTGGGGAGGGGCTGAACCAAAGGTGGCGATTTGGAGGTCCAGCCTTGTGGTTTGGGGCAGTCCCATGGGGGTAGAGCAGTTGGGAGAAAGGCCTGAAAGACTGAAGGCAGAAATTTTTGGAATCTGGGTTTCTGTGGAAGGAGTGGGAAAAGAACCTGGCTGAGGTACAGATGTGGTCGTTAAACAGGGAGGAAGATTTAGGATGGGGCAGTGGCGCAGAAGGCAGAAGTTTCAAAAAGGAAGGAGGTCCTGTTGGTTGTAGAAGGTTGAGAAGTAGGACTGAGGAAGGCTGTTGCATTCTGTGATCATGTGATTGTTCAGACGGCAGCTTTAGGAGTAAAACTGCGAGAGTTAAGAGTAAATGGTGGCAAAACGGAGGAAATGAATATAGACTAGTTTTAAAAGATAAGTTTTGTATAAAGCAAGGAGTGGAGAAGTAGTTATTAAGGATGCTGGCTGATGTTTTTGTTTTGGTTTGCTTTGTGTTGTGCACAAGCCTCGCTCACAAGGAAGAGAACCAGCATGTTCGTGGATGGAGGGCAAAGGTACGGCAATGAGGGAGTGCAAGGCAGGGAAGAGATCTGGACCTTGGAGCAGCCTAGGCATTGAGCGAGACAAGAGGGAAGCGATGATAGTAATAATAAGAATAGCTACATTTATTGAGCACTTACCTCATACATGGCATGTTGGAAGTTCTTTGTGTGTGTTCACTAAGTGTATTTAGTCCACAGCAGCCCCATCAGGTCGGTATGGTTAGCAGGTGGAATGTGAGGAATTTGAGATTGAGAGGCTTTAGGTTGTCCTGCTCGGGATCTCCCCGGTCGTAAGTGATGGTGCCAGTACTAACTCCGGGCAGCCCAGATCCAAAGCCCAGACTCTCCTGTGTGGCACTGGAGAGGTAATGAGCTGGAAAAGGAAGGCTGAGGACTTACAGATGTTCTCAGTTAAATCAGTGAGTAGAAAGCGGAGTCATTTATTTGCCAAGAACAGTTTAAGGAACTTGGGATGTTTCACCTGAAAGGTTAAGCTTCTTTTGGGGTTAGCCTCATTCGGGATGGACTTTATTTACTTTGTTCATGGTGGTATTTGAAGAAACGAACAGTTCTTCAATTATTTACAGAGGTTTATAGGTTATAAATATCTTTCACATCAGGCTTAATTGGCCTGTTGGTCTCATCCTTCCAGAATGATGAAGTTTTTAACTAAATGCATACTGTGAGTTGGACATTATCACATGGAAAGATACATCTTGAAGTGCTTGCGAGCACTGCAAGAGCATTAAATTAGTTCTAAAATGAGGGCAAGGTTACACTCTGCCATGTGTTGTTTTAGATAAATAAAAACTAGCAAATAGAGCAATTTCTGAAGATAATGCTAAAAACATCACTAGGATATTAAACTTTGCTTTCACTTTGAAAATAGCAATCTTTCAGAAAAAATCTGAAAATTATTTTCTCAATTATTTTTATAATTTTAGCAAGAGAAAAACGCTTTGGAATAACTGAAAATTGCTATATTGCAGTATTGTTCAAAACCATCTGTTGTTTCATTTGGAAAATAGATTTCTGGCAGCTGCATTGGGAAATTTAGGGTTACGTCACTTATAGGTCAGCTAATTTATTTAAATTGGTTGAAATTCAGCAACTGAATTCAATACTGGTTTTCCATCAGCCTAATAAAAATTCCTTTACAGCCCCGACTGCACAGGTGTCTGCATCATCCAGCGACTACCAAAGTTGCTTTGTCGTGTATCTGATTATTTATCTCAATTTAAGACCTAAAATAAATTGAAAAGCTGCCTAATGTTTTCTTCACTTTTATTTTTACAAGTTAGTTCTGGAGAGAATTAAATAATATATTTAAGTATACCAAATATTTATGCCTGTTTCCAGAAAAGTTCTCTAATTATAACAAAAGTATAACCAAGTTGATAGGAAACTCAAAATCCTTATTTTTTCCCCTTTGTTTTACTTGAGTTTTTAATCTAATTTCTCTTGACTTAAAATTGGGTGTAGCAGAAATAAGGCCTTAAACTAAGCATTTTACCATATATCTTTAATGATCCTTAGTCACAAGTTGTTGAGATAAAAATAAATGAACCCCAGCTACCTGGCAATGGTTATTAGAAAATTATTAGTTAAGATATCAGAATGAAATCAGTATTTATTACCAGTAACTGAGTATTTGATTGACTGGTTTCCTTTTCTGCTTTCCTCTTTTGTTAGAAGAGTAGAGAATAAATATGTATTAGAGTTTAGTTTTTTGAAATAAGCTCAGTTTTGTCGTGGGGTCACTGCTTATTCAGTTTATCTCTATAGCTTCTGCTTTATAGCAATTTCTGAATCATATGTAATGTATATAAAAGCAAACTCACCCTTTCGTGATCCTGAAAGGTTTCTGCATCAAAATAGTGAGATAGGGAGAAGCTGACCTCTCAGGCGGGATTTCCTAGAACAGAATTTGCTTCATTTTGACCTTAATCTTTCAGAGCCAGAAACGTCATGTGAACTTTCTTGATCAGGAGTGTGTTCCTGCTGCAGGTGACAGCAGCAAAGGGCAGAGCCATGTTTCTGACTCAAATCCCTGATGCCCAAGTCAGTGGCAGAGTATAGAACTAATTCCTTGTATCAAGATGATCATCACATCCCCCACTTTTTGAGAAAATCTATATATGGATAGTCAAATTATAAATAGAAAATTTTGAGCCAATAATAACAAAGAGTTGATGTTATGATCTTGATAACCAGTGTCGCTGAACTGTAGTAACCTACGGCATCCAGGAAGGCACACTCTTCCTCAAACAGTGCTAGAATGACCCTGAAACCGTCTGGGTCTTTTGGACTTCCTCTATACCATCCATTGATACATTCGTTTTTATAGATTTCTATAACATTAACTGGGCTGTGTCTTTTCCACATTGGCAAGACTTAGTAAATTCTGTTTGATTCTTCCTGCTTTCCTTCGGCAAGCTAACCTTATCTTTTCTGCTTTGAATTCACTAGTACATTACTTCCGATGGTAATCTTAGCTCCAGAATATAGTGTCACCATTCTTCAGCTTCTTATATACTAAATAGATGTTAACCAGACTAATTCCTCATTTAGTCATAAACTTACCCTGAGAGTTTTACTTATAAGCATATGTACATATTATCAGAATCTTGACATTAACATGTGCCATCTTTGCATGGTTTTGAAAACTGTATGCTCATTAGTTTTTATATTCTGTGCCTCTTTGCCATTGAGATTTAAAAGATGACATTTAGGGACACCTGGGTGGCTCAGTTGGTTGAGCATCCAACTTTGGCTCAGGTCATGATCTCACAGTTCGTGAAGTTCGAGCCCTGTGTCAGACTCATTGCTCTCTGCAGAGCCCACTTCGGATCCTCTGTCCCCCAATCTCTCCACCCCTTCCCAGTTCATGCTTTCTCTCTCAAAAGTAAATAAAAACATTTGAAAACAAATAAATAAATAGTCACATTTATATAATGTTAGAAAGAAGGAAAAGTCATAAAACATGTTGGTATAGTTATTGAAGAAAATATGCTAATCCAGCCGTGCTGTGCCTTATTCACTTCTGTATTCTCTATAAGATTCGGTTCCACATACTAAGTTGGTTATTTACTTCCCTTTGAATAAGTAAGATTTCTTTTTCATATGTATTTGGATTCACTTCCCTCTTAGAGAAAGAAATTCTAACAGGCTTGTAAGTGGTATGGATTTTTTCTTTAAAAACATGTTTTCTGTGCATGTTAGAAGTAGGGAAGAGAGACATTAGCCTTCTGTAAAGTATAATGTGATGGCTGTCAAACTGGCTTTATTCAAAGACCTAGAAACAAACTGCTCCACATAAAATGGTGCCCCAATAGGTGGGGGTAGTGATCAGGGACTGACAGGGAGAGCTTAAAACACCTAACTGAGGGTCTCTGCTTGTAGCTACCAATGAACCCATGAGATATCTTACATTAATTTTATGCCTGAAAATAGTTTCCTTCAATAACTGATCATTGAGGAAAACCTCTTTTCATCCTAACATTTATAATGAATAAACGTCAGGAGTAATGTAACAAAATGCCTTTATACAATACTGAAGCTAATTGGAAGAATTTGACATTTTATGGATGGCCAAGTTCAGTATCAGCTCTTCTTTTCAAACTTATTTTAAGAAATGACTTTCTGAATAAGGGAGCCTTGCCGTAACAGTTGGCAGTTAGGAGTTATTTTGTAATTTTTATTTTAGCTCTTGAGATTTGATACTTCAGACCTAAGGCGGGTAGAATGCCTTTGATAGCAGTGTGACCTTTTTTGTATTAAGGTTATACAGTCGAGCAAGTTGTGTAGCCATGTGGCCACATGTCTTTATTTTCTTCTGAGGTGACCAGAGACTTTGCCACAGGCTAAATATAAACCTTTTTCATGAGGCATCCACCCAAAATAAGAAACTCAATAGTTTTTAAATGATCCTTTTATTTACCTTACCCAAGTATATTATTTTCCATGGACACATGCTTTTTGGGTTTCAAGGAGACTATACACTTTACAAATAGATTATTTCCTATAAAGTTTTATTTCTCTATTAAGTAAACAAAGAGGCACCCACCCTCTACACTTGTGTAGAGGCCTTCATAATGAGAAACAGTTGAATTTAAAAAAAAAAAAAAGGTTGTTTGTCTTATATAAAGTTCAGGATAGATTCTCTTTGACTTTATTTATTTATTTTAATATGAAATTTATTGTCAAATTGGTTTCCATACAACACCCAGTGCTCAGCCCAACAGGTGCCCTCCTCAATGCGCATATACCTACTTCCCCTCCCTCCCACCCCTCCATCAACCCTCAGTTTATTCTCAGTTTTTAAGAGTCTCTTATGGTTTGCCTCCCTCCCTCTCTTTTTTTTTTCCCCTTTCCCTCCCCCATGGTCTTCTGTTAACTTTCTCAGGATCCACATAAGAGTGAAAACACATGGTATCTGTCTTTCTCTGTCTGACTTATTTCGCTTAGCCTAACACTGTCCAGTTCCATCCACGTTGCTACAAAAGGCCAGATTTCATTCTTTCTCATTGCCAAGTGGCTTTCCATTGTATATATAAACCACAACTTCTTTATCCATTCATCAGTTGATGGACATTTAGGCTCTTTCCATAATTTGGCTATTGTTGAGAGTGCTGCTATAAACATTGGGGTACAAGTGCCCCTGTGCATCAGTACTCCTGTATCCCTTGGGTAAATTCCTAGCAGTGCTATTTCTGGGTCATAGGGTAGGTCTATTTTTAATTTTTTGAGGAACCTCCATACTGTTTTCCAGAGCAGCTGCACCAGTTTGCATTCCCACCAACAGTGCAAGAGGGTTCCCGTTTCTCCACATCCTCACCAGCATCTATAGTCTCCTCATTTGTTCATTTTAGCCACTCGACTGGTGTGAGTGGTTTTGATTTGTATTTCCCTGATGGGGAGTGACGTTGAGCATCTTTTCACGTGCCTGTTGGCCATCCAGATGTCTTCTTTAGAGAAGTGTCTATTCATGTTTTCTGCCCAGTGCTTCACTGGATTTTTTTTTTTCAGGTGTGGAGTTTAGTGAGTTCTTTATAGATTTTGCATACTAGCCCTTTGTCCGATATGTCATTTACAAATATCTTTTCCCAGTCCGTCGGTTGTCTTTGACTTTAGAAAAATAGGTGACTATATTCAGGTTCTCCAGGGAAACAGAACTAGTAGGAGAGAGATTTACTCTGAAGAATTGGCTCACACAGTTATGGGGGCTGAGAATTCCAGCAGTGTTATGTCTGCAAGGTTGGAGACCCAGGAAAACCAGTGGTATAATTCAGTTTGAGTCTAAAGGCCTGAGAACAGAGGAGCTGATGCTTGAAATCCAAGTCCAAGGGCCTGAGAAGATGAGATGAGATATTCCAACTTCATAGGAAGCAAAAAAGGCATGTTCTTCCATCCTCTACCTTTTGTTCTATTCAGGCCCTGGACAGATGCATCATGTCCACCCACATTGAAGAAGGAAGTCTACTGAGTCCACTGATTCAGTGCTCATCTCATCCAGAAATACTTTCACAGACATACACAGAAATAGTGTTTAGTGTGTCTAGTCAAGTGAGATGTAAAATTAACCATCACAAGTGACTAAAAAAAGTAGTTAAGTATGTACTTTCATTATCTATCGTTGTGTTATTAGGGAGCACGTGCAAACTACTAACATCCTTGTGTCATTAAACTTTAAAAACTATGTATTTCAATTATTTATGTGCCTATCCTCTCCATCAGGCTATTAGTTCTTGAGTCGTCATCATCATAGCTACCATCTAGTGATTGCTGAATAAGAACCTGGTTTACATATCTTGTTAAGTGAGTGAATGAATCAATCAGTAGATTCTGGAAAATCTAAAGTTTTAGAGAGCCTATAATCTAGCCTGAAATAACATAACCCAAACTCCTTCAGCATCCAATAAGATTTTGCTTTCTTTCTTCTTAAAATGATTATGAAACTAGAAATAACGTAATAGTTGATGAAATACATAAAGAAGCATAGGGCTAGAGAGAAACCAGGTTCAACTTCCAGCTCCATGATCTCAGGCAAATCTGTGACTTCTCCGTGTCTCAGATTCTTTATGTATAAAAAGAGGATAATAGAAGAATTTACCCTGCAGAGTTGTGAGTGGAGTTCCTGGTACCTGTGTGCCCAGGAAGTATTAGTTGTTAGTAGTGGTAACAGTGGGAGGAAAATCAGTTCTCAGTCTAGTAGTAGCAGCATCAAGATTTTGATGTACCTTGTCATGTTCCAAGTCTTTTTGCCTCAGCCCTTCTAATAATGTGCACTTCAATGAAGTATACACTCATTTTTTAAATTAGTCTAAGTGGAAGAGGTAGGTGGACTATCTGGAAGAAAAATGTACCATGTGTTGTAAGAGCAAGTGTAAACCTTTGTTTAAAGTTTAAACAGTTTTCTACACGAGGGCAGTAATCTAGAATTGACCATTTTGAGTAACTTCTTGCCAGAGTTGCTAGGATATTGGTCATCGCTTTCCCATCATGAGTTTCCAGTGTTCTTGGAAGTGAATGAATCAAACTTTAATGAGACTTAAGACAAGCTGAAGTTGATTGTTAAAAAACTATAGTAATGAAATATTTATTGTGCAGATGAAAAGAATTCAACTATATTAAAAAATTTTTAAAGCAAATAAAATTCATAATTGAACTATAGGGTAAGAAAGCATATTCTATAATATCTGTTGTTTCTGACACAGCATGGTTCATTATTGATGTTAACATTTGTATTATAACTCTTTGCCAAATTAAATTAAATTAAATTAAATTAAATTAAATTAAATTAAATATTATGGAGAACTGGTTAGGTGCTTGATGATATCAAAAAGATTTTCATTCACACATTTATACTTACCTCCTACTCGATGTGGGCTCCACATAACAATAAATAAGTCTCTACCCTCTTCGAACTTGAATAGTGAAGGACTGTATGTATAACATAATTATACAATATTATATGATTATAATCAGAAAAAAGGCTATAACTTTAAAGTGTAGGGCATTGTGAAATTATATAATATAGAGACATTCTAGAATATCTAGAATGGTCTGAGGTATATGTAGTAATTCACATAAGAGATGTGGCAAGTCTGTGATTTCATACTACACTGTAATTCAGCAACCTGCAAGGTAAGATTGAATCTAGGTTTTGGCTACATTAATGCTTCAAGAAATAGAATGTTTAGATTTGCAATCAAGATCCAGAGCTCACTGCCTCCCATGGACATACCAAAACTACAACTACATATAAAACAACTTATCAGGGTGCCTGGGTGGCTCAGTCGATTAAGTATCTGACTTCGGCTCAGGTCATGATCTCATGGTTTGTGAGCTCAATCCCCACGTCAGGCTCTGTGCTGACAGCTCAGAGCCAGAAGCCCACTGTGGAATCTGTGACTCCCTCTCTCTGCCCTTCTCCCGCTCACATTCTGTCTCTCAAAACAAAAAATTGTTTTTGTTTAAAAACAACTATCTCCAAGAACAACTTGAAGACTAGCAGACCTAAGATTTTACACAACTAAGGATATAAAGAAATAGTCGCATCAAGATGACCAGGAGTGGCAAAGAGGCAGAGACAGTCTACTAAACTCAGGACTCACACCTCCCCAGCATGGCAGCAAATGGGAGGATATCATGACTGCAAAGGCCCTCTCTGAGGAACAGGGATCCAGTACTCACATTGGGTTCTCTGACCCAGGAAACCTGCACTGGGAAGATGAGCTCCCATAACATCTGGCTTTGAAAACCAGTGGGGCTTAAGTCCAGGAGAGCCAGAAGACAGCAGGAAATCAAGACTCCACTCATAAAGGGCATGTGCACAGTCTCACTTGCTCTGAGTCCCAGAGCAGAGGCAAGAGTTTGAAAAGTACCTGTGTTACATGTGAATGAGATTCATTGACTAATTTAATTGACTAAATTTAGGGCACAGAACTAATTTGGGATCTGTTGGAACTTTATCCAGGGATAGAAGTACTGTGAATGCCATTTTTTTTTTTCACTCCCCTTCTACCTACTTGTCCTGAGTAGCTGCCCTATCTAGCAGGTGCTGTGTCTGACACCATCCATCTACAGTGCTAGCACTGCTTGCCCTACCCTGGCATTTCCCTGCAAATTGCCTCACCCAACCCACCAGCTCTGGCCAGTGCTCCTCTCAAGTGGCTGTCTGCCTCACCACACCTGATGGGTGGCCTTGGTGACAGTGGCACTGCCCCAGGTAACCTCACCCCACCACAACCAGTGATTGGCCCTCCACCCTGCCACACCCAGAGGGTGGTGTTGGCTGGGATAGGTAACCAGGAGAGTTTCCACTACAGGGCCCCACAGGATAGTTTCTATATAGAGCTACTCCTTTGAGACAAGGAGACATAACTGATCTACTCAATATATAGAAGCAAACACAGAGAGTCAGGGGGCAAAATGAAGAGACAGAAAAACATGTTCCAAATGAAAGAACAAGACAAAACTGCAGAGAACAAATAAATGAAATAAACAATCCACCAGATAAGAAGTTCAAAGAAATGGTCATAATGATGCTTATTGATCTTGGGAGAAGAATGGTTGAATACAATGAGAACTTCAACAGAGAGACAGAAAATACAAAAGAGAGCCAATCAGCTGAAGAATACAAGAACTGAAATGAAAAGCTAGAATCAACAGCAGATGCAGAAGATGCAGAAGTGCAGATTCTCTAAGATTAGGGTAGGGGTAGGGGAGAATCACCCAATGAGAACAAAAAGAAAAGAAAATTTTTAAAAGTGACAATAGTTTAAGGGACAACATTAAGCATACTAACACTCACATTATAGGGGTTCCAGAAGGTGAAGAGAGAGAGAGAGGGACAGAAAACCTGCTTGAAGAAATAATGCCACAAAACTTCCCTAACCTGGTGAAGGAAGAAAACACTCAACTCCAGGAAGCACAGAGAGCCCCAAAAAGATGAACCCAAAGACACCCATACCAAGACACATTATAATCAAGATGTCTGAAGTTAAAGAGATAATCTTAAAAGCAGCAAGAGAAAAACAACTAGTTACATACAAGGGAGCCCCTATAAAATTATCAGCTGATATTTCAGCAGAAACTTTATAGGCCAGAGGGAGTGGTATGATATATTCAAACTGCTGAAAGGAAAACAACAACAATAATATTCTACCTGGCAAGGTTATCATTCAGCATTGAAGGCGAGATAAGGAGATTCCTCAATAAGCAAAAGCTAAAGGAGTTTATCACCACTAAACTGACCTTACAAGAAACTTTAAAAGATACTTCATTAAATGGAAAAGGAAAAGCCATAATTAGCAATAAGAAAATTATTTTAAAAAATCTCACTGGTATAGGTAAAGATATAGTAAAGGTACTAGGTCAACCACTTATATAACTATTATGGAGTTTAAAAGACAAAAGTAATAAAAATTTTCTATATCTACAATAATTATTCAAAGAATACACAAAATATGTGTAAAATATGATGTCAAAAAATGTATTGGGTAGAATGAAAATCTAATGCTTTAGAATGTGCTTGAAATTTAGTGACCATCAACTTAATACAGACTGGTATATACCTAGGAAGTTATATATGAACTTTATGGTAACCACAAATGAAATGCCTACAATAGATATACAAAAAATTGAGAGTAAGGAATAAAAACATGACCCTAAAGACAGTCACAAAATCATACGGGAAGAAAGCAAGAGAAAAAGGAACAGAGAACTACAAAAACAACCAGAAAACAATCAACAAAATGGCAAGAAGTACATATCTACATATCTGTCAGTAATTAAATGTAAATAGACTAAATGCTCCCATCAAAAGAAATAGGGTGGCTGAATAGATTAAAAAAAAGACCAACTTATACATTACCTACAGAGACTCACTTGAAATGTAAAAACACACACAGGGGTGCCTGGGTGGCTCAATCAGTTAAGCATTCAAGTCTTGATTTCAGCTCAGGTCACGATCCCAGGGTGGTGAGATTGAGCCCTGCATCAGGCTCTCTGCTGAGCATGGAGCATGCTTAAGATTCTCTCTCTGTCCCTCTGCCCCTCCCCTGCTCTTTCTCTCTAAAAAAATAAAAGCACACATAGACTGAAAATGAAGGAATGGAAAAAGATATTTCATGCAGATAGAAGCAAAAAAAAAAAAAAAGCAAAATAGACTTTAAAACAAAGATTGTAACAGGAAAAAGAAAGACATGACATAATGATAAAGGGATCACTCCAACAAGAGGGTTATCAAGTGTCTTTTCCAACCACAACTGTATGAGCTAGAAATGAATTACAAGAAGAAAAGTGGAAAAAATACAGACACATGGAGGCTACTCAATATGCTACTAAACAACCAATGGGTCAGTGAACAAATCAAAGAGGAAAGAAAAAAATTCCTAGAGATGAGTGAAAGAGTCGGACGCTTAACCGACTGAGGCACCCAGTCACCCCCAATGGCATTTTTTACAGAACTCAAACAACTAATTCTAACATTTGCATGGTACCACAAAAGCCCCCCAATAACCAAAGCAACCTTGAGAAAGAAGAGCAAAGCTGGAGGAATCACGCTTGCTGTTTTCAGACTATACTACAAAGCTGAGTAATCAAAACAGTTTACTACTGGCACAAAAACAGACACATAGACCAATGCAACTGACTAAAGAGTGCAGAAATCTGTGGTCAGGAGGTTTGAGGTCAGGAGGTCAATCAATGTATTGACCTATGGTTAATTAGTCTTCAACAAAGAAGGTAAGAATAGACAACGGTTAAAAGACAGTCTCTTCAGTAAATGGTGTTGAGAAAACTGGACAGCTACGTGCAAAAGAATGAAACTGGGCCACTTATACTATATACAAAAATAAACTCAAAATAGATTAAAGACTTAAAGGTCATAGTGGAAACCATAAGACTCTTAGAAGAAAACATAGGCAATAAACTCTGACATCATCTGTCTCCTCAGGCAAGGGCAACAAAAGCAAAAATAAACAAGTGGGACTATATCAAACAAGAACGGTTTTACATAACAAAACCAAAACAAAAAGGCAGCCTACTGAATGGAAGAAGATATTTGCAAATAACTGGTCTCTAGCTGTGAAAGTCCTACATGGCATCTTCTTCCAATAGAAGGTGCTTCCTCTCTATTGGAAACCTGTTGTTTAGTGTAGCCACCTTCATTAATTATCTTCACTAGATCTTCTGGAGAACTTCCTGCAGCTTCCACATCAGCACTTGCTGCTTCACCTTGCACTTGATGTTATGAAGAATTTTCTTTCTTTAAACCTCATGAGCCAACCTCTGCCAGCTTCAGACTTTTCTTCTGCAGCTTCTTCACTGAAGAAGATCTGAAGAGAGTTAAGGTCTTGCTCTGGGGTTAGGCTTTGATTTAAGGTAATGTTGTGGCTGGTTTGATCTTCCATCCAGACCGCTAACGCTTTCTCCATATCAACAAGAAGGCTATTTCACTTTCTTATCATTTGTGCCTTCGCAGGAGTAGCACTTTTACTTTCCTTCAAGAACTTTTCCTTTTCATTCTCAACTTGACTAACTAGAGCATGAAGCCTAGCTTTTGGCCTACCGTGGCTTTTGACATACCTTGCACACTAAGCTTAATCATTTCTACCTTTCGATTCAAGTGAGAGATGTGCAGCTCATCCTTTCACTTGAACACTTAGAGGGCACTGCAGGGTTATTAATTGACCTCATTTCAATATTGTTGTGTCTCGGGGAATAGGGAGGCCTGAGGAGAGGGAGAGAGAGAGAGATGGTGGAACAGCGGGCTGATGAAGCAGTCAGAACACATACCACATTTATGGACTAAGTTTACCATCTTATGTGAGCACAGTTTGTGGTGCCCCAAAGCAATTACAGTAGTAATATCAAAGATCACGTATCACAGATCATTATAACACATAGAATAATAATGGGAAAGTTTGAAATATTGTGAAAATTACCAAAATGTGACACAGAGACATGAAGAGAGCAGATGCTGTAGGAAAAAATGGTGCTGACAGATTTCTCGATGCAGGGTTGCCATTAATCTTCAACTGTTTAAAAAAACAGACAAACAGGGGCGCCTGGGTGGCGCAGTCGGTTAGGCGTCCAACTTCAGCCAGGTCACGATCTCGCGGTACGTGAGTTCGAGCCCCGCGTCGGGCTCTGGGCTGATGGCTCAGAGCCTGGAGCCTGTTTCCGATTCTGTGTCTCCCTCTCTCTCTGCCCCTCCCCCGTTCATGCTCTGTCTCTCTCTGTCCCAAAAATAAATAAATGTTGAAAAAAAAAAAAACAAAAAAACAGACAAACACAATGTCTGCAAAATGCAGTAAAACAAAGTATGCCTGTAGTTCACTGAAGAAACCAAAACTAAGCTAGAACCCTGGCCACAAAGGGAGCAGAGAAGTATATTTTTGAGTTTTCTAAACTCTTCAAAAAAATGAAGGCTCACCAGTAGAAGGTTGAAATAGATGCTGATGGAGTCTGGCTATAGTATCTCCCAAAGGGATGTACCAGTGAATGTTTCCCTGGTGCAGGTGGGAAGGATAAGAAAAGAACTAGCTATATGAAAACTTGGGGGGATGCATTCTAAGCGGAGGAAAAACAGTTAAAGAGGCCTGGAAGTGAGAAAGAGTATTAATCAACCTTAAAAACAAATGGCAAAAGTATAGACCTCCTCCCCCCACCAAAAAAAAAAAAAAAAAAAAAAAAAAAAACATGGTGAATTCAGGAAACTCAAATTTTCATTTAGAGCATTACTACAGTAAGGAAAGAGGCTGCCACATCCCCAGTCTAATCGTCCTCTACACTCATGCAGAGAGTGGTCCTCTGTTTAGCCAGGAGTTGTGGAAGATTCCTTTCTCTCATGTGTCAAGAAGCCTGACAGTGACACGAATGTGGAATCGAGCATGAAAAACACAACATAGCCACAACAGCTACGGTGCATCCATCCATTTACCTTAAATGATGAGAGGGTCGGAGAGAGAGATTGAGCCTGGTACAGGAAGGTCAGTGGCAAGATTCAGGTGCCCCATACAGGGTGGCTTCTGGTTCCAAAAGAGAAGACAATAAGAGGTCCTGGAGTCCTGTGGCCAGAGAGATAAATATACCATAAATTCAGAATATTAAACCTTAGAGACACTCTAGTCCACCCCTGCCCCTTCATTTTATAGGTGAGAATTTGACAGAGTGGTTGAACATCTTGTTGAGGGTGATAAAGTCTGTGGAACATCGGGACTAGAACCCCTTAATAGCAAACATACTGTTTTACCATGTGCTTCACTTTAAAGCCCCTCTTTTCATGGTCATTATCTAATGCTGAAATGCAAATGTGGTAGCTAATCTAGGATTTTGTTAGCTGGTGGTCAGTTTAACATTTAGCTCCATATCCGTCAAGATGGTGTTCAGAACAACTGCTTTTGAGTAACGATGGCAGAGAAATTAAAGTATTTTAAAAATTCTGAATACTACTACTTCCTTTAACCCAATCCAGCCCTACTCCCAAGGATGTGTTTCGTTCCACCCTTAGTGAATTTCACTGCCAAAGTTTGTTGTGTTTTTTAAAAATTTTGCAAAAATGGTGAAAAAGAGCCACAGCTTTAGAAAAGAGGGTCATAAAAAACAGGAAGTCATAAAAACGTGACTTAAATGAAGAATCCCCTCTAAAGTGTCATGAAAGCTAGCCTAGTTTCTTCATTAGGTTGAGTGGCAGATCCAATTATAGAAGAAAAATGATATTATACTATTGACCTTTTTACCAGATTGAATCTTTAACCCACTGGGCTTCGTGTACTTTTTGCATTCCATATTTGGTTATTTTTGACACAGATTAAACTCCCAACTCTAGAAGAGCTCAACGATATTTGAATTAAGCAATAAAATATCTAAACACTGTTGCCTGGGGAGTCACAGGCATTATGCTTCCATGTAGAGGAATAACTGGTATTTGTTGGGATTAGATGGTATGATAGTTGAATTGGATTATGCAACCAGAAGACACATACCCATTTATAAAATGTGCTTTATAAAATCTTTTTAAAAATGTTATTTCTGCTAGTCTTCAATACCACGATGCAATAAGTTATATTATCCCCTAAAGTCACTTAACAAAATAAGGTGTCACTAAAAGAAGCGATTGTGAAAATCCAGAATTATATATAACATAGCCTATCCCAGAAATACCACAAACCCTATTCTCTGCTATTAGTAAACTGTAGAATATTTTGTTTTATAAAATGGGAAGTAATATTTACAGGTAATATGTTTTATCTAAAGTCACCTTTATCCCAAGACCTTTCGAGAAAAACGGAAAGTTGAATTGTCTTATGATGATCAAAGAAGCAGTTTACAAGGGCTATAAATGACATCCAACTTTCTTATGGCTTGTTAGCAATCAGTTCCGAGAATTCTGAACCCATGTATCACTGACCACCAGGTTCTGAAGGAAAATGTTTATACATCCCCACTGGATCATCTCTGAAAGGTTGAGTCGGTGACGTGGTGTGATAGAACAAGCAAAAGATTCTTTTCTCTCACTAGAGGGTTTGGGAATTAGAGTGTCAAGGGGAGAGGCACAAGCTGTGTTGGCTGCCTTTGTCCCATAGCTTTTAGAGTATCCTTTGTGGAAGGAGAGAAAGAAAACTTCTTCCATAAGAATAATGGTGCCCTAAGGAAAAAACATCTGTTCTCTTGTTGAGTGCAGTCTGTTTAAGGGAACAGCAGCAATCTGCCTCGAGTTAAAAGGTGGGCTTATTCCCACCTCCACACTTCTGAGCTGCGCTCCAGTTGACTGCTCCAATCTCTGATGTCGGAGGCCGGTGTAAACAATGAAGCCCTTTATCTAAACATTTAAATCCTCCTCTCTTCCCCTGTTTCAGCCCACGCAGTAGCCTGTGGAATTGACTTAACAGAAGGCATATTTTCTCGTGAATTTTGGGCTTGGGAAAAAATTCTTAGTTTGGAATATGAAGAGGGGGGCATTAACTTAAAGTTTAAACATGCCTGGTATACATGAGTACAATATAAAGGTCAAGCGAGCAGGAGAATGGGCTAGCACCCCAAGATTGGTTGGGGAAAGCTGTGGATTGCTTCATGAGATTTTATTATTTTGATCTTTTTACTTCCCAAAAGATGGAGGTAAAGTGGAGTAGTGATATCCTAGATACTCATAGGAAAAGTAAGGGGTTTGGAGGGAGATGAGGAAAAGACATTAAGGGGAAGAAATCGGGTTCAGATTTCCTAATTTGTCTTCTCTCTGCCTGGCACCAAGTTAAAGCCTCTTTTCATCAGGTAGATTGCAGTCCAATCTGGCTAAAGCAGTTGAAGTGCTGGGAGGGGATGGCCAAGGGGGTGAAGGAATGGGGTTCCTGCATGTTCTGATGCCCACAGGGGCCTGATAGGAAATCTAAGAGACGAGCCTGAAAGTTCTGCTCAGTCTGAGGGAGCCAGGTGCCCTGGCCTTGGCCAGTGTTGCTTCATGAGAATTGGGGCTCGGAATGGCCTGATTTTTCCGAAGCCAGAAATCCTTTTTTGCTGTCGTTGTTAAAATCTCCCAAATTTTTAAATAGTATAACAGATTGGAATGTATTTGCCAGGTCGGCTAGTTTTCCAACTCAAGTTAATGGGCTTCCCCCTCTTTGGAGGTTTTGGGACCTTAAAACTGGAACTTATGACTCATAGAAAGTGAAGGGAATAAAATTTTTCCCTCTCACTCATTTAATAAATGTTCATGTCAACAAATACCAAAGCTGTATCCATCAGTAGTCACAGTGGATACAAAGATACAGTCCTGTACAGATACAAAGATCCCACTGTACTTAGGAGACAGATAAACGGGAAATTACATTATAGTGAACTTCCTGTAATTAAACAGGTATTCCCAAGGTGGGGTCTGCTCTGAAGGGCATCCAGTCCTTTTTTGGATGGGAGCTGTGTCTTAAAGGAGTCCATCAGTTAAAGAGAGTAGGTACTTTATCGGAGAAACAAGAGGTACAAAAAGCAGGTGAAAAAGAGCAAGGTATATGTGAAGAATTCAGGGGTGTTTACTACAATTAAATGATAATCGAATCAAAACCAATGATACTAATTAAAAAACAGATCCTCCTCCAAAAAACAAAACTGGCTTCTCAAGACCCATCCCAGATCTCCTGAGTCAGAATCACTGAGGTGTTTTTTAGTAGGCACTCTAGGCGACTCATGATCAGGTTTGGGTGACTTCGTCTCTAGTAGAGATGGTGTCAAATCTGAAAATAGGATAGTTCGCCTGGATTCGAAGCTGGGCTCCATTCCTTAACTAGCTGGCTATTATGGGCAAGGCAGTTAGCCTCTTTGTGCTTAAAGCTTCTGTACCTGAAAAATAGAGCTAGAGTGTCAACTTAATAAGATTGTCTTGAGAATTCAGTACTTAGAACATTATCGTTATCCTGCTCACCACTTGATTCCCAGCCCATAGTACTGGGACAGGTCCAGAATAATTACTCAGTAAATATCTGCTGAATGACTAAGTGGGTATAAACGGGCCAGATCACTGGAGTCCTTAGTTTTGCTTATTATTGTAGGTACAACCTCAGGGTAGTCACCGTCTCTCCTCTACCTAATCTTCCTGGAACCATATTAGTTACCCACCCCTCCCCCAGTGATTCATTTGAAAAACAAAACCAAAAAACAGAAGTAGCTCCTATACCAAAAGATTTCTAGAGTACACATTAGAAAGAAAAAATAAACACAATGCACTATTTCCCTGTAGTAAAGTGAGAAAACTTTGTGAATCACTGCTGCTTTATAAAATTAACAGCTTTATTTCATTTTGTTCTTCTCTCTTCACCTAAGGCTGCTGTTGTACCATCTGCTCAGACACTTAAAATTACTGACTTCAGTTTCAGTGACTTTGAGCTGTCTGACCTAGAAACGGCACTGTGTACAATTCGGATGTTCACTGACCTCAACCTTGTGCAGAACTTCCAGATGAAACATGAGGTAGGAATAAGTCATGTCCTTTGGAAAAGTGAAAAGTGTGTGTGTGTGTGTGTATGTGTGTGTGTGTGTGTGTGTGTGTGTGTTAAGAGAGAATTAGTATGAATTTTTAAGTCTCAGCAATTAATATACTGTCACCTAATGCATCCCTGAGATTTTCAAAGAAAAATGAACAACCCTAACAAGACACGTATTGGATTTTTACTATGCATCAAACACCAGGTGGAAGAATAGGGGACATTATCCCCAATAGTGGGCGCAGGATGTACAAAGCCAGGGGGACAGAGTGGGGATGGGCTGGGAGCCTTAGTGGAGGGGGAGTGAGAGTGGCAAGGGAAGCAAGTGGAGAGGAAGGTTACGATGCAAATCATATGTAACCTTGTAGGCTGTTCAGAGGAATTTGGATTTTATTCTGAAAAACAGTGGTGAGTCACTGAAGAATTTTAAACGGAAGTAACTTGATCTCATTGCAGAGGTTATGATCACACAGGCCAGGGAAGGACCAAAACAGAGTGAACTCCTTTGGAAATAAGGGAGTACAGGCGCTTGATGTGAAGCCAAGCCTGTGGTTCGAACAAGAGTGGTTACCTCTGTGGGGTGTGGATGAAAACCGATTTTAACCCCTGTTGATTACTTATTCACCTCTCAGAAAACAGCAAGACTTCAGGCAGAATCTTCTAATACCAGCTGCAGAGTGCAGGGAAAATCTTCATAATGGCTATGTGTATTAGCATCAAAGAATAGGGAGAATAGAAAGGATTGTTTGAAAACGAAATGTAGTAATTTACCTTTAAAGTTGTTTGTTTTTTTTTGGTTTCTTTGTTCTTTCCCTGGTCAGTTGAATTTCTAGTCTTCTTATACAGATTTCCTGTCTGGAAATTTAAATACCTTGAAGGCCTCTACTATTTAGCAATCCATTAATTCATAAAATGAAAATTTATTAACATAAACAGTGTACGCAGCACTGTGCTAAGTATTCATTTGAGCGAAGAGCTGTCCTGCTCTCAAAAGCCTCACACAGTTAGGAATGAAAACTCAGGACTAATAGAGCTAACGGTAATATAGTGTCATTTATGGTATTCTTGGGGTATTCTTTCTTAAATTTAGCCAAAGT